GTACCGACTCGATGGCACCTAACAACAACAACTTGTAGAAGAATTGATGCATTTGGGTTATGGTGTTGGAGGGGAATATTGAAAGTGCCATGGGCTGCCAAAAGAACAAACAGATTTGTGTTGGAAGAAGTGCAGCCAGAGTGCTCCTTGGAGGCCGGGATGGCCAAACTTTGTCTCTTATACCTTGGACATATTGTCAGAAGGAATCAGTCACTGGAGAAGCATATCATGTTTGGTTAGGTAGAGGGTCAGAGAAAAAGAGGAAGACCCCAGTGAGATGGATTGGCAAAGTAGCAGCATCAATGGGCTCAAGTGTGGCAACAATTATGAGGTTGGGCCAGGACTGGGCACTGTTTCATTCTGTTGTGCATAGGGTCGCTATGAGTTGGTATCAACTCGTTGGCACCTAACAACAACAGTTTTGGTAACGTAGTGTATTATGAACTGGGCTTCTAACTGCAAGGTCAGTAATTCAAATCTACCAGTTACTCCAAGGGAGAAAGATAAGGTTTTCTCCTCCTGTAAGTGTTTACAGCTTCAGAATCCCTATATAGGGTCTTTATGAGTCAGAACCAACTCGTTGGCACAGAACCACCAACTACCACCACTCCTCACATAAGATTCCAGGAATTGATGGTGGGGGAGTGGGCCTCAAGAAGGGGCAAGGGGATGGAATCCAGAGAACAATCAGAGGGTTGGCATTTGACAGGAGTGAAGCTTCTCAGAATGACAAGGTAGTGTAGGTAGGAATGTGGATTTTAAGCAGATAAGAGAAGCTCATTTTATACATGAAAAAAAAATTGGAAATATATTTTACATTAACATTTTCTCCACCCAGGGAAAAGTAGATTGGTTTTGGATCAATATTGGAGATACAATTATAAGTGCATGGTTTTATAGATATAGGCAAAGTTATACACACACACACATATATATATATAAATACACACACACACACACATGCATATAAATGAGCACACCTAGCACTAGATCCTGATTTATAAATACCATTTTCCACTAAAAGGCTTTTTGGAGAAATAACAGATTCCAGAGCTGGGATTGAGAACCCACAAGGTGAGTATGGAATTTTCTTATACCAGAAAGTTAGGCAGTGTTAGAAGAACGGTGGGGCACATTACTGTTGTGGCTTCCTCCCAAACACGTATAACTTTTATAAAAACTCAAGAAACATTCTATTAAGCATCTGACATTTCATTTTTTAAAAATGTCAAGGTCTTGAAAAGCAAAGACAGACTTGTGTGAGCCATTCTAGATTTAAGGAGACCAAAGATGGCAGCTAAATGTAACACGTGATCCTGGATTGAACCCTGGGCAACAATTTCTAAGGACATTAGTAAAACAATGATTCAAATACGAGTTAAATAATAGTATTTTTGCTGCTGTTGTTGTTGTTAAGTGCCGTTGAGTCAGTTCCAACCCATAGTGACCCTGTATAGGGTTTCCGAGGAGCAGATGGTGAGCTTGAACTTGACTTTGCAGTTCAAATGGCTTTGCAGTCTGGCACATTAACCCACAGGACTCCAATAGTATTGTATCCACATCAATTTTCCAGTTTTTATCATTGTTATGTAATAGACTGTGCTTTTTCTTACTAAATTTATACAGAAATATTGA